ACATGACCGACGAAGAGGCAGAGCGTGATGTAGCTGATGGTTTTATTGCAGCTGTTACTGCACCCTTTCGGTTTTTGGTTAATCTTTTTTCTAAAGTCACGAAGCTAGAGCCGCATTAATGTTACAGTTTCCGCTTCATGGCAACACACATAGGATAGACATTTGTTAACTATTTTAATTCTTTTATCTTTTCTTGCTATTGAACGATATTATCCTATGCACGTGCTTTTACGTGAAACAGAAAAACATAAGGATACGGAGAGAAAACAGTGCTCACCCATCCTCTGGATGTTGGGCACCGTATTTGACTCTGTGTTATCCAGAAAATAAAACCTACATATATACTTTGTTTGCGCCAGTTCCCGATGGTCTCACTGTCACTACTGCACTTGATATAATATATCAGTGGGAGAGAAAGAGAAAGAATGAAGGGTTGCAGTGACACGCGGGACAAGGCGCCAAAATAAAGGGAATGGAAATGTTTTTTTTTGCTTTTGGGGATGTGAAATGGAATGTGTGTGACTGTGTAGAGTGAGAGAGCGGTAAAGAGGGTCTGTGTTCTGTGACTGCTGTTGCGAGAGTGTGTTCTCTTTTCCATCTGTTCTTGTTTTTTTATTCTTTTTTTTTTTTTTACCTTCTCTGCTTTCCACAAAGAATTCTGCTGCTTGCTTCGCTACTACCCAGCAAAACAACACAAGGCATCTCTGTGCACGCCAGAATGCGCCAGCTGCTGTACGTTACGGTACTGCTGTTGGTGCTGCTGCCTCTCTACTGCACCAACGGGCTCGCTGCCACTGGGGGACGCTCGTGTGGCTTCGACGCAGTGAGGAGGAGACGTGGAAATACTCCCGTGGCTGTGGTGCGTGAATTGCCAGTAAAGGGTCAGGGTCCATGGCAAGCATACACCGCGGCCACATATAGCCCTTGGGCTCCGATCCGCATCTTTGTCTCGACCATTGATCTGGAAGACGATAGTCGATATTGCCCGGCGGCTGGGAGGTATCGTCCAATTTACGTTGATAAACGCTACGTACACTGCCAACCCAAAGACGTCCTCAGGGACGAGCAGAGGAACGCCTTGATTAACCATATTATTCCGGGAGCCATGAAGCTCCACCAGGAGCGCCTTCTCGTGAAGCCGTTAAAAGGGACCTTTAAGGTTCCAGTATTTGGTGAACATGACACCTGTTCCCAATTCTCTGTCCCACCAGAGCACTACAACCCAGGTTTCTCCGGATACGACACGGTGATGTACGCAGCCGCCGGTCCGCAACACATGGAAGGTACTGTGGCGTGGGCCATCAAGTGCGCAACTCTGCCCAATGGTCGTCCGGTGACAGGTATTCTTTACTTCACTCCACAATACATCACCAATACCTCGCAAATGGTACGTGCTGCCGCTCACGAAATGGCGCACGTCCTTGGTTTCCACGGTGAAGTTTTTATTAAGCAGAGTGATATGTACGCCAGAAGGCTCCGAGGTTTAGAAAAAGTCCCATTTCTAAAGTGTCCTAAACTTGTGGAAAAGGCCAAGAAGCACTACAACTGCAGCAGTTTGGATGGTGTTGAGATGGAAAATGACGGCGATGATTTTACGGCGCTGTCACACTGGGATGTACGCAGCGCAAAGGATGAGCTGATGGCTGCCTTTTCAGGTATTGGTTACTACACGGCACTGACCATGGCAGCATTCGAATGTACAAGGTACTATAAAGCAAATTGGGGTATGGAAGAAACAATGAGTTGGGGCAAGGACGCTGGTTGCAGTCTCCATACGGATAAGTGCATTAAAGAAAACGTGACCGAATTCCCCGATCTCTTTTGTACTGCTCTTTCTGAAACGCCTGTGTGCACCTCTGACAGACGTGCGCTGGGAATCTGCACCCTGGGGGTTTATAACGCTGACCTTCCAGAAGAGTACCGGTATTTCACAAATCCCCGTGTTGGAGGTGTTTATGAGTATATGACGGATTATTGTCCGTTTATTTCACCGATTCCGTATGGTGACTGTAAAGCTAGCATTTCATATGGTTACCTCGGGAGTCGCATTGGTCCGTCGTCCTGGTGTCTGAAGGGAGAATCACTGATGCTGAATGGGACGATTGTTGGGGATGTGTGTGCGGAGGTACAGTGTGATAACAAGAGTGTCCAAGTGCGGTACTATGGCGATGACAAGTGGTACCCGTGTCCAGAGGGTAAGGTGCTTAAACCGAATAATACCTTCACAAGCGGCAGCATTGTGTGTCCAAAGTACAGGGAAGTGTGTACTATTGCCGCAGACGGAAGCAGCCGCATTGTCAAGAAGATTATCCCAGAAGCAAGACATTCCAGTGATACAGAGAGCAGTATGGGTCCTACAGTGACTCTGGAGTCAGTGGACTATAGAACTGAGGGGGAAATGTCTGACAAAAAAGAAGTAGCTGGGTTTTTTGAGAGATTTCTTGCGGCCCTCAGTGCCTTTTTTTTGTTTCTACTTGCTCTCTTCTCGAATATTTTAAAACCTTGTTTACATTTATAGTAGAATGTTCTGTCGTTTAAATTTTGCATTAATGTTACAGTTTCCGCTTCATGGCACTATACATAAGATGTGCATTTGCTAACTATTTTAATTCTTTTGTATTTTCTTACTGTTGAACGATATTATCCTATGCACGTGCTTTTACGTGAAACAGAAAAACATAAGGATACGGAGAGAAAACAGTGCTCACCCATCCTCTGGATGTTGGGCACCGTATTTGACTCTGTGTTATCCAGAAAATAAAACCTACATATATACTTTGTTTGCGCCAGTTCCCGATGGTCTCACTGTCACTACTGCACTTGATATAATATATCAGTGGGAGAGAAAGAGAAAGAATGAAGGGTTGCAGTGACACGCGGGGCAAGGCGCCATAATAAAGGGAGTGGAAATGTTTTTTTTTGCTTTTGGGGGTGTGAAATGGAATGTGTGTGACTGTGTAGAGTGAGAGAGTGGTAAAGAGGGTCTGTGTTCTGTGACTGATGTTGCGAGAGTGTGTTCTCTTTTTCATCTGTTCTTGTTTTTTTATTCTTTTTTTCCTTGGTGGTATGATGCTTAATAGATACCTGTACCCCTATCGAAGTTTAGGTGTAGTTAGTGTTTGTTTGTAATATATTGTATGAATTAGGTGCAGAAGAGTAAAAATAAAAATAAAAAAAACATGTATGAGACACTTGTGAGTTTCCTTATATTGTTAGCATTCATCATACTCCTTTACCTGCTTATTCGTAATGTCATCTCTCTGGTGGAACTTGCACGTATTCGCCGTAGTATTAAGAAACGACAGCCACCCATTGTTGTTCCTTTTTTAGTGTTTACCACTCGTCCACTGCGGGAAATTCTCAAAACACACATGGCGTCGCAAGTTGTTGCCTTGCAAGGAGCACCGTTGGTGTATGGACTAACAATGCCATTACAGTTGCAAATGCAAACAGCCCCTTTTTCTGGTGTTCACGTGCAATTGTGTAAAACGGCTGAACACACTGCTTCTGTTAATGTTAATGCTAATGCTAATGGTGATTCTCCTGTACGAGGTAGTAGTGAGGAACGGCAGATGGTGGAGGAACCAAATGTGGAGAATGAAAAGTCTGTAAAGCGAAGGAATCGTGATGGGGCGAGTGAAGTGGCGATTTCTATATTTACAACACCGCAAAAGCGAAAAGATACATTTGAAAATTGTACACATCGACATGAACAGCCATCATTGGAATTTATGGGTATAGGTATGGGTAACAGAAATAGCCGTAGCGGCGGTAGCAGTATAAACAATCCGAATATAATTAGTAGTGATCCACTAGGAATTTTAATGTCCCGTCCTCAACTCGTCATTAATTTTTGTCTGGAAAGTACAGTACGATTTAATAATTTGTGGTTACATCGTGTGGATGTTAATTCCCCACTCGTGGATGCAACAGAGAAACTTTCTCTTTCTCCCTCCACACGTGGTAATGGTGAAACGACAAATATGATGCTTCCAGACAGTATGGCGAAGTTAAATGGATCTAATGCTGTTTCTATGTTTAGTGTTGATCGTAGAGAAAGTATTCTTTCTAATAGTGATAACTCCTCTCCCTTACAGCTCCGATGTGTCTGTTTTATTGGGGCGAATGATGTGGAAATTATGAGGGCTGTTACGGTAAACACAACCAAAACATTTGGGTCTAGTCAACTCACATATCACTGTTATTACAGTGATGTAGATGAGGCAAACTGTGCACGGGAACGTATGAAATTGATGGATTGGCATAATCGACAAAAATTAGGAGCACGTTTTCGTAGAAATGATGATGATTCCATGTCATTAAGTAGATATTATTCACTAGAGGATGTTGTACTGCAGATGAATGATCAGATGCTTCCACACCCATACTATTACCAACACCAGCATAACTACTATCATAATATGTATGGTAGTAGAAGTAATAGTAATCATTATCATCACCAGTATAATCACCAGTATAATCAATTCCAAGGGAATTTATCTAAATCAGGTATAGATCTGGGGTTTTCATCTAGAGAATCATTTGATTCCCAAACTACCGTGATTGGCCGTACACGATCATGGCATCGAAGTTCACAATCCAATGCCGTAACGGAAACTTTTCTGGAAGCGTCTATGAACTATATTGGAGTAGGAGATGGTAGTACACAAGATGTCCATCAAACTCTTGAAGAGGGAGAAATAAAAGAAAAACATGAAAAACGTATAAATAAGAAAAAAGAACACATAAAAGTATCATCTTCTCATGAAGAGCAAAGTATGCAAAGAGAAAGTATGGAGTCAAGTGATGATAGAGAGTTTGTTACTGCAGTCTCTACGGCGGCGGTAAGCATTACATCTTCCTCTGAATCAACCTGGATGGATTCCTCCTCTTCAAGTGATGATAGTCAACGTACAGTGGCTGATGGATGTAATAATAAAAGAAAAAGAATAATACATAAAAAGAAAAGAAACATTGGTTTGGGAAATAAAATACATACAGATAATGAAGAAGAAGATCATGATGATGATGAAGAAGAAGAAGAAACCGCAACGACGGTAACGGCTTGTTTTTCTCCTAATGCTATTCCTTCTACGTGTCCAGCTATGAATTGGAAACATGATACGACGGAGGATTTATTCTGTTTACCACCAGCATACATGAGAACACGACACAATTCAAATAATAGTAACAATAGTAATAATAGTATAACTACAATGTATAAAGGAGAAATCTCTATTTTGCCGATTATGGTTCGTTCCGATGTTTCCTCACCGGTTGCCTTAAGAGTAGATACAGTAGATCTTACCATCGCCGCTATTACGAAGTTCTATATAAATCATTCTACAACTTCTTTGACTGGAGTACATGTAGGTACAGGAGTCACACTGGATAGAGAAGACATTAACTCGCAACGGAGTCTAAAGAGAAAATGTAAAGAACATCATTATCAAACAAATCAACAACAACAACAACAAGGAGAAGGAGAAGGACAAAAAGAAGAACAAGAACAACAAAAATATCAACAAAGTCGTAAAGGACAGAAAAATACAACAAACATGATGAATGGAACACGTATGGAATTAATTGAACAACGTCAACATCCCATCACACTTGCCTTTATGCTCACACCACAATCAACACAAGGACGACGTGAGCGGCGATCACTGGTGAGTCTGCAGAAATCTCATCCAGTGGAATGTATTGTATGTGTATACTCCTCACTTGTGCCGACAGAAGAAACACGTGGAAAGGGATCCACACCCGCAAACACAAAAACAACATCATCAACAACAACAACAACAACAACAACAGCAGCAACAACAACAAAAAGAAGAAGAAATGGAGGAAGAAGTACTTATCATACGCACTCACCATGGCGAGAAATTGATGAAACTATTCCATCGCGTGAGTGTGAGGAATCTCGAAAGTTGTTCTCAGGAGATGATGAGATGATGGAGACTTCCACCTCCTTTGGATTAGATAAGGTAGCGGCTCTATTGGATGCTATGCATAGTGATAGAGGTGTGGATATGCCTATGGAATTACAATATATACGAGTTGGAAGTGATCTCTATGCGGTACGTCCAATTTCTGACCAAACGTTTGTACAATATAAAGAGGAACGTGTTATTATTGGTTCCCAAAATAATAATAATAATAATAATAATAATAATAATAATAATAACGACAGCAGTATAGGGAGCAATAATAATAGTAAAACCAATATGAACAACGGTATGGAGACAAGCCGTGGGAGACAACGTTCATCCACCTATCGTATTGGAGCGGCATCTTATTCATTAACTTCACCATCACAGAATGGTCTTGAGCAACAGGTGGTTCGAATGTGTTGGTTTTGTCTACGTACAGAAGCAAATATTATTTTCCTTCCATGTGCACATTTTGCGGTGTGTTTTAATTGTAGTGAGGAAATGCGTGAGTGTTGTATTTGTCACACTCCTATTCGGGCCACTATAGTGCTACGTAAACCGGTAGAATATTAAAAATGAGAGAAAATAGTTTTTTTTTTTTTTTTTTTTTTTTTTT